TCCCACTCCTTCGAACCCTCTTTCTAATTAAAAATATAAATCGTTAGTTATTTTATAGATAAATTAGGGTACTTACACCATACAGGGCAGCTTTAGATCCCGGGAGCCCTAGCCTCCTTAGAAGTTATAATATTAACGATAATTAAATAGGATTAGTAATTCGACGCCCTATTTATTACTATAATCTAACAAATATATAAAATTTTAATATTTAACTACTTTAAAAAAAAGGAATAATCTTTACCCTTATAAAAAAATATTATTAACTACTCCTTAACTCTTATATACGGCGCTTCCTATATAATTACTACGTTTACAAATTATAAAAGTTTAGAAGGAAAGAAAGAAAGGCCTTTTATAATTACTGCTAATTCTACAATAATAGTATAAGGCTATATAAATAAATTTTATCACTAACTTCCTAAAAGTAAATAATAATATTTATTTTTAAATTATTAAAGACCGGCTTAATAAAAATATTATTTTAGAACCTATACCTTTAATAGATATAAACCTTTACGTAGAACGTTTTTTCTAATATTTCGTCTACTACTACGGTTAGCTATATTCTATAATTAGTAATAAGGGTACTAATTAAATAGGTAGGTTCTACAAACGTTTTTATAAATTAATATATATAGAATAGCTCCTTAATACAGTATATTATCCCTAGATTAACGGCGGCCCGGAAAGAATAAATTGAAAAATCTACGCCTTCTTTAAAACTTATATTAATTATTTATAAAACAATTAGGACTATTAGACCCCTATAATATAATTAACTATTAATAATAGAATTAATACCTTTATTAGTATAACCCCTTTCTTTATAATTTATAAGTATAAAATTAATTTTATTATTCCTACGGCAAAAAAATTATTTATAAATTTCTTTATTTCTTGTACCCTAGAACGGAAGGCCTACGAATTTATTAAAAAACTATAATAAATTTTAAATTTATATTAAATTATTATAATGACCGTTATTTAATAGTAAGAAGGATTTACTAACTACTCGAGGTATTTAGTAAAATACTTCTAGGTCGGAGATAAAATTTAGTTAAACCTTGAGAATTACAGTTCTAAACGCTCTAAAAAAATTTAAACGTTATATATATAAAGTATATAATTTCTAAAGTCCTTTCCCTATATATAGTAGAATTAGAAGGCCTACCTATTATAGTTTATAACGTTTTTTATATTAATTTCCTCCAGAGAGCTATAAAAGACCCTTTATTAAATTCAATTACTATAGACCCCTAACCCCTAGCTATTATAATTAAAGGAGAAAAGGAATAGGAAATAGATTATATTTTTTATATAAATAATTTTATAAATAAGAAAAACGTTATAACCGGCTATATTTTTATTAAATAGAAAGGGTATAGAAAAATCATATAAGAGCCTTTAGAAGAATTTTAAAATACTATTACCCTAAAAAAATTTAAATAATAATATAAGCTTATAGATATTAATATAAGACCTATAGAATAATGGTAAAATAGGAGATAAATGCGTTTAGGTAGGTAAAAATAGTATTAAATAAATTAGAAATTAGAGGGTCCCTTTCCCCGAAGAAATAAAGGGACCTGTAGAGGCTAACCCCCTATATAAAAATTATTATATAAAATTATCAAAAAAAGAGAATAGAAAATATAAATAGCCCGTTTAAAGCTTCAAATTCTCTTTACTATCCTCTAAACTTTTAGTACTAATACTAGAAGGCCTAGCTATAATAATAGCCTCCTTAAATTCGCTCAATTTTTTATTTCTTCTAATAATATTAAAGATATTTGATAAAATATTTTTAGCGGCTATAAGAGTAGTAGAGGTAACAGGGGTAATAGGGATAAAATTAATTTAAATGATTATAGCCGTAATAATATAAATAAAAGGGCGTTTATATATAAATTTCGGGAGGGGGAAAGTTTTGTACTTCTTACCATAAGTAAGAGTTAAAGTACGCTTATAGTAAATAATATTGTTCTAAGCCTTTTAAATTAATAAAATTCTTACGTTCTTCTCTAGTACGGCGAATTTATTTAAAAATTTAATTACTTTAATTTTTAAACCGTTTACGCCCACTTAAATAAATTCTAAGTATTTAATAAAAAGGGCCGTATCGGAAATAATAGTAAAATCGGTATTAGTAAAATTAATAGTAGCAGGAATTTCGATAACGGGAGCGAAAATATAGGAAGCCGAAACGGCGAGGGGAGGGGTTATATAAATATTAATATAAATTGTAGCGCCTAAAGAGGAATTAAAATTAGCGAATAATAAATCGAAGGCGTTAAGGTTAAAAATATTAATCTTTTAGAATTTAGGAAAGTATTTTAAATTTTTATTTATAGAAATTACATTATTATGAGCAAAGGTAGTAGCGGGTTCGAATTTATCCTTAATATTAGGGTATTCTTAGCGGTTCTATTCCAAATATATTTCCTAAACTTTAAGAGGGGAGGCCGTATAAATTTTCGCTAAATTGAATTAGTAAGCGATATGATAATTCGAACTATCCTAATTATAATAATATATAAACTTACGAATAAGGTAAAGCTAATATTGATTTATATAAATATTATAAGTCGCTATAACCTCTTAAATTTCTTTAGGGTTAGTAAAGGAATTTTTAAAGTCGTTAGCGCGTAGAGAAGGGAGAATATTACAGAATTCGACGGAAACTACTTTAACCGTAGAAATTACAGGGCTATAACGCTATAGAACCAATTTATCTTTTAAAAAATTAGAGGCTTCGGTTAAAAAAGATACAAAATTACCGGGAATAGAGGGGGTAAAGGGCGGAAGAATAAAACGGACATTAGGAATAGCGGGAATAGTATAAGAGGGAAGGGTAATAAAAATAATTAGAAAAAGGGTACCAGTAAAAATACAGAAAATTAAAGGAGTTAAAGGGGCGACGATAGGAATAGTAGTAATAGTAATAGTAGAACGAATATTATAATAATTAGAAAAAGCCTTAGAAATACGGGGAATCGAAAATTAAATACGAACGCGCTCTTATTTTTCTTTTTCCTCATTCTCTCTCTTCTTTTATTCAAAGAAGGTATAGAAAAAATTTTTATCCGTATTTATAAAATAAATTAATTATTATAGTACTACAGAAAAAAGGGGGGAACGTATAAAAGGCTATTAAAATTTCGTTAAAGAGGGAAAGAAGGGAAGAGAAAAGGGAAGTGCGGGAGGAAAACTTTTTATATTTTGGAGCGGGGCGACAATTATAAAATAAATTAATTTAAATGAAGGTAGGAGGACGCATACTATTAAAAGGGACGTATATAACCTGTATATAAATTATAATATTATTCGTTATTAGAATAACCCGGATTATGAGAGGGGGGCTAATATTATAAAACTACCGCTTAGAAATTTATATTAAACTCTATAACCTAACTACTTATAATTTATACCCTATAGTACGGCACTACGCCTTTATAGTACCGTATACGTACTTATAGCCCCCTTTAAAAAGCTATAGTCTATAGTTCTACTTTACAACCTGACTTTCCCCTCTTTCCTCTTTATAGAACCTTATCGATCTCTTTTTAGCCCAACAGCTGTACAGCACTCTGCTGTCCCCCTTACAAGATCATAGCTTGGTCCATGCTCACGCCAAGGCTCCCTCTGATTGGTTGCATCCCTCCGTGTAATACTATTGGCTACATTAATGTATTTAACCGTACTCTCTTCGAGGTTGCATTTCTTCCTCTTTCTTCTTTTTTCCTCACCTTTAGTTATTTATCGATAACGTCAAATTATTCGTGTGCACTCCCGCTTCGAGATCTACGTGCGTGACAGATATAATTCTCCTTCTTTATTAAGTATTGTTAAATAACCACTCGAAACTTATAACGTTGTAGATTTATAATATACTTATCTAAATTATCGTCGAGGAGGTTATTACCGTTTTCGTTTCTAATAAAGAATTAATTATTAAGATTGAAGAAGATTAGCTTCCTCTATTCGAAGAAGAAGAAAAAGAATTATAGTTTTATAAACTAATATAGGAAAGATATATAAAAGTATTACGCAAAGCTAATATTGATACGATTACGTATAGACTAAGCTATAGTTAGGAACTTCCTAATTTTGATTTAATTGAAGAGTAAGATTTTAGTATATAGTTAAATTCTATAGTAGAAGATTCTATAATAGTATTATACTAGAAAGTGGCGATATTAAAATTATTAAAATTCCTAATAAAAATATGGACCTTGTTTTATAGAGTAGCTAATCTAATATAAGAATATTTACTAAGTTCACAGATATTACATGCATAAATGTAGTATTTTTTAAAAAGGCGGTATAATATAGTTACAGCGCTAATTTATATAGGGAGGAAAGTACTAAAACTTTCGCGAATCTATTCACTTTCGCGAATCCATGCACCTGACCCTATGCAAGCACAGGGTCAGACTGAGGCGTTTTTAGCCCTGACGAGTATTACGGGCGAGGCCCAATGTTGTTGCCAGGATGAGAAAGGCGGTGATCTCTCAGGGTTGACTGAAGTACAAAATGATTATACTTGGCTTCGTTCCATGGTTGCGTGCTCGCATGCTCAATGATGTCAAGTTCACAACCACCCAGCAATGCATAACCGTACTCATCTGTGGACATCGCCTCGATCAAAATGCATGAGTAAACAAGGCACAGGTGCGTGAAAGATTGAGCAATGGTTTTGACTTCTTTATTGCCAGCCGCGGTAGCGCAAATAGTAACACCTGGCTTGTGGTATCAGCTAGGAAGGTATCAAGCGCTCAGAACCACGCACTTGCAAGTTGCACCTCCCTGGTATCAGCATCATCTTTCCTTCTTCTTCTTTTATCCACCAGTACGCAACCCACGCAAGCCGACAACGCAAAAATTACGAAGAGCAAAGATAACTCGACGTCTAAACAATGGCCATGATGAAAAGATAAGAAACCCAATTGCACCCATTTACCCTCCCGAAAGTGATATCATCCGTTATTCCTGTATGTATGTTTGATAAGCATGCTTTTCGTATGCTTCAACCCCATGCTCACACCCTCAGCGAGCCCTCAGTCTCGCCTACGACGTCGGTGTAGAGGTGAGAAGAGATTTGTGTAGTATGACTGCGTTTTCAATCCAAAGGAACGTCTTCGCAGTCGCATCAGTCGCAAGAACTAAAGGCCATGCCCCAAAGCGAGACGGGAACTGGTGATCTCTCGTCAACTGCCCCGGGTGTGATATCATTGCCAGCTGGGTCGACCATCTGTTGGGGAGTGACCATATCCGAATGGTGTAACGAAGTCGAGCCTTGGTCCGCTAGCAACGGTGTCTTGACCAGCCTCTAGTTGTTGGCCTGACCGTTAGCCGTCTGCTGCTTGGCGTTCTCCTTCTGGGTGTTGAGGAAGCTGGCGGCAGTAGCGTAGGTTTCGGTGCCGAGGGTGAGGGCGGTGGTGAGAGCAGCCTTGTAGTAAGCAGTCAAGCCCTGGCCGCCAACCTTCTCGAGCTCGGTGTTGTAGGTGCTGAGGACATGCTCCTTGCCGCTCTGGCCAAGGCGGATGGGGAACTGAATGATGGACTGAGCATCGTGGACGAGCTCATCTGTCGGCTTCTTGACAATGGGGAACTTCTCATCGAGCTTCGACAGCGTCTTGTCGCCCAAGTCGTCGGCCTTCTGGACGTATGGGGAGACGTATTGGTATGGGCCCTGGAGGTAGCCGAGGAAGGGAGCTCCAAAGGTCTGGTACACCTTCTCGGTAACCTCGAGGAGTCTTTGGCCGTAGGGGTTGGCCTTGACAGTCGAGATGCTGGACTCGACGATGGGGTATCCAAGCAAGTGCTGTCGACATGTTAGCTTTGGTCATGAAGCACACAAGGGATGACGGGGACATCATGAGCTTACCTCGATGACCGCGGAGTTGTGGGCAACATCGCCGTTAACCTGCCTGCTGCTGTTGGACATCTTGGTCTTCTTCTGGTGAGTCATGTTAGATGCTGGAGAGTATAGTGCCACGAAGGAAGAATGAAGGATCAGGAGTTGAGAACAGGTGAGACAGGCGGACTCTACAATTTGTATGATTTCCAGAGAGGATAGAAGGGTGGGACCGAGCGTGAGATCGGAAGGGTCTTTTAAAACAAGACGAGGTGGTATCGGAGTTCGGGACCGTCGAGCAGAAGGTAGGAGAAAATGATGCAAGCAGAGGAATGGAAGGTGGTTTGGAAGGAGACGGAATTTGAAAATGGCAACTGCCTGGGTCAAGAGGAAGGAGACGGGGTGGAGGGGTGGAAGACGTCTTTCCACTCCGGTGAAACCTCACAGATTGGTAGCCCAGCCGATGCACGCCACTAGTATGGGGCTATTGCGAGTAGTTAGGAGCACTATCAGAACACAAGTCGGAAGCTTGGGGACTCGCGATGGGAGAAGCTGAGCCGTTTGCTAGAGGAACCCTCAGGGCACCCCTCCCTCGTCATGGGTGTCATTGCTTGTACCTTGCTGAGACTTGGTAGACGCACATGAAAGAGACCTGAGCTTTGTCAAAACCTGCCATGATCTTGACGCAAATCACTACTGTAACAGTCTTTGTACCTGTCTCCAGCTGCGAGAGTCCATGCGGGAAGCTGATAGAGATGGCATCTCCGATGTTAAGGCCCAGCTACGGCGTGGAAGCCGAGCGAGTTTGCCTCCCCGCCGGTATCTTTGAGCGATACACGGCAGGTACTAGTGACACAGAACCGCTCTCGTCTTCCATGACCGAATCCAAATCTTGGTGCGTCAAAACACGAAGTGAAGTCCAAGGTGGTGTGGATGCCCAAAGTGGGCTTGAACACATTGAACAGGCCTCTCGACCCCTGTTCTTTCTTCGATGAACCGAACAATCGAAGTGCCCTGATAAGAGTCTAGTGGGGCCCCTCGCTTTCAAGGCTGCATGCGTCGCGCCAACACCCCCGGCCTGCCCAGACTGTCAAGCAAGCGCTGCCAGCCAGTCAAACGAAGGGAGGGAGAAAGTGGCAACCCCTCCTTCTGACATGTGAAAGCTCACAAGCCAAAACATTGAAAGCCATAGCATGCACATCCCTGGTATAATAAATGTAAACATCACCCGCATGTCAGGATCACCACCGGGGTTTGATTGATCCATTTCAGTCACCTTGGAGGAAAACAGCCGATGGAATTGCCTGGTGTCGTACACCAGTGAAGGAGTCACGGAGGCGACCGAGGCCGTCACAGACAAACTCGATAAGATGGAGGTGAGATGTTGGAAAATGCTGAACAGGAGACTTGACAGTTTGACGACTCGATTCAGTGAAACAATCCTTCACGTGAAATCCCTTATCACTCCGTGACATCATTCTCTCAGAAGAGGCTCTTATAACGCCACTAGCTCGTCGTGGTGGTGGAAGATAAGGGAGATTTTCAGGAACGACGAAATAAATGACATGCATATCCCAGGCGGGGTTGTTGCTCCGATTCTGAGGTTTCGGACGCAGCTTCCCCCGCTGAGCCGTTTTTGTCTTCGTTGTCCCATCATGGACTCGTACACAAGCAATTATCTTGTGTGACAACCGGTGAGGCTCGGAACGAATGGGAGGAATGACCCTCACACCGACCCCCCACGCCACTCCATCTCTACCCGTTGCCGCCGGTTCATCATCCGTATGAGACTGTAACCCAGATTCCAGATTCCAGCGCCAAGTTTGGAGGATGACGTTCTCGGTTGCAAAACTTCAATTTCGCATTTTCAACGGTTGATGATCTTCACTTCAAAGATGAACAATTCAAAAATATCAACTTCCTCGGCTGCACCGGAAGCAATTTCACGCTCACAACAGACCAAGAGCTCGACATCCAACCGATTCTACCAAGGTTGCCTCGCTCAGCGGGGCGTCAGGCTCGACTACAGCCAGCAATGCAAGTAATGCAGCACGCACTGCAGTGTTGCCTCGCAGCACCAACTGTGGTCGAGGCGACTGTGGTAAGCTTTTCAGTTGGCTCCTTCACAAAGGCCTTGCAGAGCCCAGACGAACGAGCTTCAACTTTGGACATTGACTCGCATCGAAGGCGCCGGCACGTGCACCATGAGGTCCAATTGAAGAGTCAAAGTCGACCCCGTTGAAAAATCGTGGAAGATTTCAGTTTCGGAAACATTTTATAGCCCGAGACGGTCAGGGGCTGACATTTTTGGGTTGCGGGTGTACTGTGTACCTTCCGCGTGGATCCAAACTTGAAAGGTCCACCACCAAAGCAAGCGCTAACCCCTTAAGAGGATTGGCGTGATTGGTTGTCAGGGATGGCCTGTGTCATACCACTTTCACATGTCAGACCACGGAAGCGACGAGACGACCAACATCCACAGTTTTTTCTCTCTTTTTGCCCGCGAGGGAGACTTTGGCATCCGGCTCCGCGCTCTGTTGTTGGCTCGACCTTATACATATGCAAGCCACAGAAATCAGAAAGAAATATCCAGCTTGAAGCCGTGTATCTCCGGTTTGCGACTCAATATTTTACAACAACAAGGTGAATCTCCCCTCGTCGTTGACTGTGTCGACTGTAGAGCATCACAGAGTTGCAAAGGTGATACACGCCAAGTGGAAATAGGGGCTGACGTTACTCAAACAAACCTCCTACATCTTCCGTTTTCCGCGGTCTCACAACATCCATGTCCGACTGTTGACCGAGCAGATATCGTCCTTGCTCAAGACGGCTTCATACATCCACAAGTCGAGTGCCCGTTATATTGAGTGAGACGAGGATTGTGAAGATACCAAACAATTGGATGCAGATATCACTCTACGATGTGTCTTAGCAAGGGCATATCCGCCAGACTGGTGGAAGCCTGCAGGTCTCCATTCCAGCAGCTGCCATGAGGCTGATATGCACGAGTACCACGAAACTGATAGTGTCAGTTATGAGACCAGGGACAAAGCACACTCACGTCACGGTCACGGGATGCCAATTGTCTCAAAATTCAAACTCTTTCAACAACGTCGGGTGAAGTCGTTACTCGTCAGGCCTACAAAATCGGCGGCTGACTAGCGGGAAACCCCCTAGTTAAGGCCAGCGATTCGTACTTGAAACTGGGGGTACCTCCCTACACCGCTATTTTGCTAGTCAATTAATATAGATCTATTCAACAGCATATTTTTTTAAATGTATAAAGCCCAATTCCCCGCACTACCCAACACTCTAAATGTACACCAGCCATTTACACTCAACCACTTACTTCTTAAATTATTTATTCGAATTAAAAATATTAATAATTATACTTATATTTACATACCATTAGTCTTAATTTCATTCAACCCCTTTATTTAATCCCTCTATCTCCCTACTATATTACCTCTTTCTATTTCCCTATCGGACCATCCTTTCTATGACAGCCCTAGCAGACTGGGTCTAGATGCCATGTACGAGGCGGCTACTAGAATGAGGTATATAGAGGATTCTAGTTATAGTACGGTCCAGGGGATACAAGCTATTCAATTGGCCATGCTAAGACTGATTATAGGGTGGATCCTAGTACGTGTAAGGTTTGTCTTGCAGGTGAAGGGGATACGAGTGAAGGGATTAGCTAACAGCGACCTATTACGTGATGATATATAGCGTAACCGTGATGACAGCAGGACTAATGATAATAATTAATACTGCTAGGAGCCTCTACCTAGAACCTTATACAGCGATTACAAGTAACTATACAAAATATAGTAAGTAAATAATTAATTACTAGCCAAAGCTAACGCCGGAAGCAATAATAAAGTAAAACCTCTTATACTAATATAATAAGTACCTAATTTAATAAGGAGTAGGATTAACTCTATTATAGCCAACTCTAATAAGGTAGGTCAACTATAATCCAAAACGAATTATAGTATCTCCTCCTCGCCCACAAAGAAGACTAACTATTTAATTATCGAAAACTATATATAAATATAATAAATTATTACATTAAAGAAGAAACGGTAATATACGTTAACCTTATATCCTTTATTAAAATCCCTATTACCGTATAGTCTCCTATTTAATACTTATATACTTATATACTAATTCTCCTTAAATTTATTATCGTCTATATTAAAATCTATTTAATAGGATTAATATATTTATTAACGGTTAGGATTAAATACTTCTTTACTAAGGACAGACGGTAGCGGACGATGCTTTATAGAGGTAATAATTTAATTTTTAGGACGGTTTAAAAACGACAGCTCTTAATAATAGAGTAAAAAATAAATAATAGAATTAGTTAATAGAGAATTATTATAGAAAGATTAGGATATAGGTAACTACGGACGAAGGATAACTTAATGAAGAACAGAAGTTATAACCTTGTTAATTTTAATTTATACTTACTTCTAAATCCTTGTACGCTCCTCTTTAATTATTTTATTTATTTTATTACGAAAAATACTAGCGGGGATATTAACGGGAGTAAATAATACTATACTAATACTATAAATATTAATAAGGCTAAACAATTAGGCCCAATTAGTAAATTTTATTATTATAAAAGTATTAACGATTATATTATTAAATTTATTATTAATATTAATAATATATAAAATTAAAATATATATATATGAAAGTATTTCCCTAATTTAATTAGTAATACGAATTATTTTAAGTATAGCGCGACGGAAGGTTGTAAATATAGTATTAAAATTATTTTTAATTTTACGAATATAATTTAATTAAGTGAACGATTAATTAAATTTAAAGATTTATAAAATATCGCTAATATTAATATTTTTAAGAAGAGATGCGAAATAAATATTAAACTTATTATAGAAGTTTTATTTTAGGGTGATTATTTCAGGAATATTTTATTAATATTAAATTTCGTAGCTTTGTTTTTAAAAATTTTAAAATATTTATTAAACGAAAGGTAAAACGATTTATCCTTATTAATTTGAGGGTATTTTAAGGTTAACTTAATTTCCCTTTTAATATTAAAGGGGTTAATTATGAAAAATGAAATTTAATATACTTTA